GACTTTGCTATGACAATCTTGAATCAGCGACTGTAAGTATGTTTTGTTATTAGTTTAAGTATTTGCTATTGACTGTTCAAATGCGGAGTTTTGCGCAGCGCAGAGTAACGCGTCGTGTGTGTGTGTGTGAGGGGAACCGGGTCACATCACAGGAGAGTGAACTGCCTGTCTGAAATCATAGCATGTCAGCTGTCTTAACCGTGGCTTGTGTACTGCATCATCACTGTGTCTGTCACGCGACTCTGTTGCCCTTTCGGGCTTGAACTGATGGTAAAACTAACGACATTATTAACGGTCTTGATATTTACTTTGAAAGCTGAAGCTCGCGATTATGGTAAGGGGGGTTACATTTCCGACACGTGCTTGTGGTGTTCGGCCAATCACAATGCACTGGGTCAGCTGGCCAATCAGAGCAGACTGCGCTTGTCAAAGGAGGGGGCTTTGTTGAAAACTACGTGTTTGAGAGAGGCGGGGCATAGAGGACCTACAATAATGTACAGTATTTGAAAAATAGTGTGTTTTTTGAACATTAAAGCATGTCAACATATTCGGTTACACCAAATACACAAAATAATGATCTTTAAAATAGCATCATATGACCCTTTTAATAAATCATTAGCTCATCCATGAACATGATTTCTGCCCGAGTCCCGTCGGATTGCATCGGCTGTGGGGATGAAGACGACAACTCCCATGATTCCACACTCAGTCACGGCGTCATCAAACTACGCCTTTGTCTATTTGTTTATTTTGAATACGCACCCTCTAGCGGCGAAAATTACATATTGTGCCTTTAATGGCTTTAATGAGGGAAAGAACTATAATACCACGAAGCATGGCAAATGACATAGCAAAATTAAAAATGATGTGAAAAACTTACTCTACATCATTCACAGTACTTCCTGGAAGTGGGTTTGTCGGAATTCTCTGATTGATGGACTCATGGGTAATGTAGTTTTTTGCCAGGAATTCTGCAGTTGAAAAAAATAATTTAAAAAACAAGTTGAAATAGCCTGGGCTGGTGGCTTCAACAAAAACATATACCATCGATTAACAACCTTGTAGCTCAGTAGGTCTGTCTTTAAATGTTTATATGTTATCATTGAAAATCCATTCCCCGATGGAGAAAGTGAATGGGATTTTGACTTCCAGAACCTGACTGTTGCGTTCTAGAAAGTTCGTGTCTTGAATGATTCAAAGTTGTAAGAAAAGTTACAAAGTAACTGTAAGTTACAGAGCACCTGAAACCTATGTTGTGATGTCCCTTTTTTAAATGTGTCTTCACTGTTGATTCCAGAACACTCCATAAACGAGCTTTCACTTACCATGCAGTCATCATTTGTGTCAATGAAGTGAATTATTCTGATCATCACATTAGACACACTTTGGAAGAACTGGGAGGGCAGATGCAGGTAAAAACAGGTATATTGCTTTTGTGTTTTTGGTCTCTCTGTCTCTATTGGAAAAGAGCTTTATGATCTATTGGCGTTATATATGAAGCGAATCATGGTTTATATGTTATTTTGTCCAGTTCTGTTATTTTGTTCCGTTTATTTGCATGTTTATTATGTATAAAGTTTCCTGAAAGTTTGTTCACTGATTTTTGAGTATTGGGACAAAAAAAGGCTACAAAACAATGTATCAACAATCTTACAGCATAAAAAATAACCAGCTAAGAACTAAGTCAGCTAAGGCTAAGAACTACTTAAAATTAGCCATTATATAAAAGTCCCAAACATTCTTTACATTTTCTTAAAGGGGTCATATGATGCTGCTAAAAAGAACATTATTTGGTGTATTTGGTGTAATGAAATGTGTTTATGCGGTTTAAAGTAAAAAAAAACATTATTTTCCACATACTGTACATTATTGTTTCTCCTCTATCCCCGCCTCATTGGTCTGAAAAAGCGAGGTGTGCTCTGATTGGCCAGCTATCCAGTGCGTTGTGATTGGCCGAATACCTTGCGTGAACATTTGGGCGGCGTTATGCAAATCTTCCCACATAGTGAGGTAGATATGTGGGGGCGTGTTAGAATGAGCCATTTTAGGTAGGTGTGGCTGACTCTGAAGTTTTATAAAGAATATCTCTTTGGATTTGAGACTTTAGTCTTTGCAACTTTACAGATCTTCTTTATGCACCAAGAGCTTGTAACACTCCAAAGAGAAAGGAAAAATTTAAATCGCATCATATGACCCCTTTAAAGAATTGGAATGTCAAGGTTAGATAAACATAATTAGGAAGTTTGGATTTGGAATAATTTGGAAGTTATCCATAGACATTGAAGGACAACTCAACTATAATATGTATAATTCAAATACTGCAATATTAGCAGTGTCACCTAAAGACCTCGAACGTATTAATATAAAATAAAGGCGAATAGTTCTGTGGCATTTATATGTTTATACGTATATTTATTTTGGTTCCAATAAAATTAAAATATATTATGAATTTCATAAGATATCTATAATAAACGGTCGTGTGGATTGTATTTCCATACGATTAGAAAAGGACAGTTTAGCGAAAGTTAGCAGCACATGCGCATGCGCAGTGAGTAAAGGTGAGAGTCTAACCGCAAATAAGCATGCACGGGAGAAGACAAAAAGAAGACAGACAAGCTTACAAGCTTACTTACAACAAGTGATGCTTACTACTATAGCGCGTTTAAAATTCTTAAGGTGCTCTGTTCCTTCCACTTCTCCGACTATTGTAGCTTTTCATCCCGCCGGCACTGCAGCACTAGTATGTCATAGCAACCGCTCGAGCCAGCAGCTGATTCAAAGGGGACATTCACAGCAGAGAGGTGCATCACCGAGAAATGCACTTCACAAGCTCGCAGATATTATAGAAGACTCCTACGCGAATGCATGATCTGGCATGGATTCAAGAAGTCATGTGCTTTTTTTGTTCACTGAAACTGAAGAAATTAGTTGCGATTTCTCTGGAAGAGGAATGGGATGCAGGGAACTCCACCGCAGCGCCTCCCTCCCCCCGGGAATAGAAAATGTGTAGGGGGAGATGCAGGGGTTCAAAAAAACAAATAGAATTGTGTTGCGTTTTGTTGGCGAGAGGGACAAGCTATTCTGCTTACCTGTGATTCTGTAGAGATTTATGGAGCAGATGGACAACAGGCACATTTATGAAGGAATATAACTGTGAGAAGATGCTTGCATGTTTAATATCCATTCGTTTCAAATATATAGTAAATCTGGGGAAAATGTGTATTTTTAAACCAATCATTTTATTTGAATCTATGCAATGTTTCTGTTCTTCTGCTAAGTTTTTTAGGTACGAAAATGTATAGGATATACTATCATCCAGTCAGTTAATTCATCTATGCATCCTTTTGATCATTTCTGGCATGCAACTGTATTTGCTGTCTAGAACATGTTTCAGCTATATTGCGGAGTTGCAGAGGCCAGATGCCAGACTTGGTAATTGGGTATGTCACCTGTCTGTCAGGCTTGTCTTAAAGATTTACCAACAAAGCAAGGTTTTTCTAGCAACCAAGGTCATTTTAAAACCAAATGAGCTCTTAGCTGTTTCCTGGCCTGCAAAATTACAGTTCTTTTGCTATTTAGTAAACAAACTGACAATATGGGAAACATACTTTATTGTTGCCGCAAGGTGTCCGAGTTTATTAACACCAAGGGAGTTGGGAACCAGACCGAAGAGCAGTCTCTGCTGCTATCCCTGGAAAATAGTGATATAGAACGTCTTTCTCCTTCAAGAACCTCAGCTGACCTACTGGCTTCTCCTGTTCTGGACCAAGATCATCTTCTATTCCCAGACATTGTACTTAGCAGCAACATTCGGGTCAGAGGGGACTTGATTCAGCCTTTGGAGCTCTTGTTGGCAACGAGGGGGCAAGCACAAGATGCCAGAAGAGACGATGGAGTTGATGAAAGCAATCTACGAAATGGAGGAGAGCGAAATAGAGAGCTGGTGGGGCCGCCAAGCACAGACGTTGCAGGCATAAATCAATTATGCTCCACAGCGGATGAATGGCCCCTGCTGTTGTCCCTATACCAGATACCAGCTGCTCAAAACAAAATATGCACTTATGGACTAGAAGCAGACACTTCTAAATCTCATGGGATGGGACTGTTTGCAAATATTACGGTAAGTCAAAATTCTTTTTCTGGTCCTGTTAGCATTCCTGTGGTTGCTGCATCTTCACTGGATGCCTCACAAAGTGAGGTAGACATCAATCAGAGAGACGATGGTTGGACTCAAACAGAGCAATTCACTGAACATGAAGAACCTAAGGAGCAACCAAGAGTAAATGTGATACACACAGAAAAGAAACAGGACAAGAAACTACTGAATGGACCAAACAGTGCAGCACAAACACCTCTAGATGCGATGAAGATGCAACCTTCAGTTGAAGATGGCACTCCAACTGAATGTCCTTTGATTCAAACGATGCAAAGGGAAGCACAAACCTTGGAACTCATAGCACAAATAGATGACTTTGAAGATCAAGACGCACTCGCAAAACCAGAATCGGAGCAAGACGCACAGACTTCTGAGACACTAGAGATGGATATTATAAAGACAGAGCATGCTAATGAGAAAGCTACTACAACTGCAGAGCTTCTTCTTTGTATGGAGAAGAAAATCTCTCATGTAGAGCAACTTTACATTACAGAGCATGAGTTAGGAGAGAAGGAGCAAAGCCTATCTCAGATGGAGCAGGATTTGATATGGAAAAAGAAGGAAGTAGAACAGATGCAGTGGGACCTGGAAGCGCTAAAGCAGAGCACAGGGTTATCACTGCGGGATTCTAAGCAGACAACCCTTGCTGTGACACAGGTAGAACAAAGAGAGGATCAGACTGAACGCTTAACACTTTTTGTGGTTGATAAACTGTTCCTGGCCACTCCAAACCTTACAGGTGTGTATTCTGTCTAGGGGTGCACAATATATACAGTAATATAACAGATTTTTTTTTTTTTTAATTATCAATATTGTGTATATTGTATATTTAATTGTGCATGCTAATTTTCCCTGTTTTTACATTAATATTTCTTTAATGCTCACTTAAGGTTAAACTTATAATTGAATAACAATATAATCATTAGGACATCTCGTATTGTACAATATGGTGTTGTGATGCCAGCAAACAATTATTTGAGTTTTTAATATTTTATTATATAGAGAGAGAGAGAGAAAACAATAGTATAGAATTTTATTATTGGTCAGCCAAAAGCAGGGAAATAATTATTGGCTAAATATAAATAAAATCTAAACAAATAATTAACAACAATGCAGCCTAATTCTTTCAGGTATTTGTATTGTAGTGCCGATAAGGTAGGCCTTAGTTCATCCCAAACCTTTCGTAACTCTTTTGTAATCTGCTTGTGATTTGTATTTTTCTCTTTTCCAAAATACAAGCATCCAACCCTGACACCATGTCCAGTGGCAATATGCTAGACACCACAGCAGACAACATGACAGAACAAGTTGAGGGCGACAGCAAAAAACAAGAGCTTCCTGCTGTTCCTGACATGGACCCATCTGAGGATGCAGGGTTCACAGTGAAGATCCAGGCTCCTGGAACTGAACCCACTGACTTCCAGGTAAAGGCTTGTCACTCACAGGAATTCAAACGAAGCTGCTTTCTACTGTATGTGTAGATATAAATATAGCTAATATGTATTTAACTATCTGTATGTTTATATTGGGCTCAAGGTGTCACCTTTAGCGATGGTGCAGGAAATTAAGCAAGTGTTGATGGACCGGGAGGAGACCTGCCGCCTTACCTGCTTCTCCCTGCAGCTCAATGGAGTAACTCTTGACAACTTTACCCACCTTAGATCCATTCCAGGTCTTCAGGAGGGCTCCATTCTGAGGGTTGTGGAGGGTATGGCCCTAAAATTGTCCTAACTAAGAGCCAGATTAGCTAAACAGTGCAAATTAGCATGAGATGCAGCCTGCTCATCCAACTTTATGAAAAATGACCATCACAATTTACCAAGAGCAGCGTAAATTAGCAACTTTCGCAGTTATGTCAAGCACAAAATGTGTTAAAGGGATAGTTCACCCAAAAATGAAAATTCTGTCATTAATTACTCACCCTCAAAAGTATTCTCGTAGCTTCGTAAAATTACGGTTGAAACCCCTGATGTCACATGGATTATTTTACAGATCTCCTTGCTACGTTTCTGGACTTGGGAACATTTCAGTTGTATTGCTGTCTATGGGAGGGTCAGACAGCTCTCAGATTCCATCAAAATATCTTAATTTGTGTTCCGAAGATGAACGAAGGTCTTACGGGTTTGAAACGACATGAGGGTGAGTAATTAATGACAGAATTTTTGGGTGAACTAACCCTTTAAGATGCTTTGTTTGGGGGCGTTAAATAATACTGCAAATACCAGTAATTTGACTAGTGCAAACTTTAGTAAAACAGTTGACAGTAGCCTTTGACTTCTATTGTATGGAAAAATACTATGGAATTCAATGGCTACTGTCAACTGTTTGGTTACCTACATCCTTTAAAATATCTTTTTTTGTGTTTGTGTTTGCGCAAGCTGTTAGCATATCTGGCCCTAAATCAGATTGACATCATCATAGTTGATCAAGTAAACTATAACTGAAAACTTCCCCTAACAGTAAATAGTTGAAATCTTACCATACATACCATTAACACAATTGACTGCCTCAAATTCTGCCTCTGTTCTTGCTCCCTTTTTAAATACGACCAAGAGCCGTACACTGTTCGAGAAGTGCATATCCATTTACGCCACATCAGAGACCTTTTAAAGAGCCTGGACCTTACTGATGGCTATAATGGAGTGGAGGGCAGCTCACCATCCTTTCTCAGTTGTGTCACAGAAGAATGTATGGAAGGTATGGAAGTCTTAGGATAAAATAAAACTGTCAAGATACCAGGCTTAAAAGTTTGGATAAAATAACATTATACAGTAGATTTATATAGTAAACCTATAAATGAATAACCAGAGCATATAAAATATTAGCACTTGTTGGGGTAATATTTGATATAAAAAAAGTTGCATCCACATTGCAAGTCTGTATGCAATACAAATATGGTGGCTTCATAATATTTTAATTTAATTTAATTCCCAGAGAACAGCAAACCTAAGCGAAGAGGTGACAGGTTGAAGCAGATGAGCTGCAGCCCTCCAGATCACATCCTTCCAGGTTCTAAGAAGTGTCTTCTGGTACCCCTGCTACCTCATACAAATTTTGGGAAGGTAAGAATTTTAGGATCTGTGACATTAATGGCGTTAAAGGTGTGCTAGATGAACATATGGTTTATTTTTGGGATGAAAATGAAGATGATAACTGTAGTTGTTCATCTTTTAAACAGTCCTCAGCGTGCTTGAAGGTTCTGACCATGAGTAGCTGGAATCCCCCTCCTGGAAACAGAAAGATGCATGGAGACCTCTTGTATCTTAATGTGGTCACCATGGAAGACAGACACTTCAGTATAACAGCATCAACTCGCGGGTTCTACGTAAATCAGTGAGTTACCGAGTACATTCGTCTTCCAGATTGTCCTTTCCCACGAAAAGACAAATATACATTTATTTTTTAAAATCTGGTTCACTTAGGTCAACGACTTACAGCTTTAATCCAAAACCAGCCAATCCTAGTGTCCTCAGTCATGCTCTGCTGGATCTCCTGGGTCATATCAGTCCAGTTTTTAAGAAGAACTTCAGTGTCTTGCTGAAAAGGAGGTATGCCAGTTCTCACAAGGAGTAAAAGAGTAAAGCATGGGTACTGCACCTATATTTTTCTCAATTAAAAGCCACAATTCTTGAGTGGTATTTAAGTATTTATGCATTTGTGACCCTGGACCACAAAACCAGTCATAAGGGTCAATTTTTCGAAATTGAGATTTATACATCATCTGAAAGCTGAATAAATAAGCTTTTCATTGATATATGGTTTGTTAGGATTGGACAATATTTGGCCGATATACAACTATTTGAATATCTGGAATCTGAGGGTGCAAAAAAATCAAAATACTGAGAAAATCGCCTTTAAAGTTGTCCAAATTAAGTTCTTAGCAAAGCATATTACTAATCAAAAATGAAGTTTTGATATATATACGGTAGGAAATTTACAAAATATCTTCATGGAACATGATCTTTACTTAATGTCCTAATGATTTTTGGCATAAAAGAAAAATCAATAATTTTGACCCATACAATGTATTTTTGGCTATTGCTACAAATATACCCCAGCGACTTAAGACTGGTTTTGTGGTCCAGGGTCACATTTATGCATTATAGTATTTACATTGTAAAATATTTTTGATATTCATTGCCCTGTCTTTAATTGATGCTGATAATACAAAATAAATATTTAAAAAAAAAGTATTTAAGTACAAAAGTCAAAATATTAATGTAAGTGGAAGTTACCATGTGTAACTTTGAGGCTAATTACAATTTACCCTTTATTGACACGTTTTTAAATCTATTGTCTGTTTTAAATAATACAATAAAATTAGAGCTGTTTATTTATTTAGGAAATGTATTTAAATATATTTATTTAAGTCTTTTTAGTCTTGCAAAATATGTACTGTTCTGAATAAAATAGTAGGAGTACAAAATATACTTAAAAATATAATTGAATATGTATAAACTATCAAACTCTTATCTTCTCTCTTATTTTAGAGGGTCCACACACCCCTTTGAAAGGATTGCCACACCTTTCCAGGTGTTCAGCTGGACTGCTCCAGCACTAGACCATACAATAGACTGTGTTCGAGCGGAGGATGTCAGCTCCTTCAGCCTGGGTTATGAAGAACACGTGTCTGCTCAGGTCAACACGTTAAAAGTCAGCACATATGCCAGTTACATTAAAGGGGTCATATGATGCGATTTCAAGTTTTCCTTTCTCTCAGTTCCTCTGTGTTGAACAAAGGCCCGGGACTGGAATGAAGAACTTCAGACCACAAGAGAGCTTCCAAGGAAAAATGCGACTGATCGTCTGATGAGGGACCGAGCTGTTTTTAAGGTATCTTTACCACTTATCATATGTGTTCAATTTAGAACCAAAAAAGGCTTTAAAGGTTACACAAATTGCTTTTACAGTTACAAAAGTAATTTATGTTTTCTATTTTTTTTAGGCCTTGTTTATACATTGAATGAAGATGCATCACAAGTGGTCAGCTGAGACTCATTGCAATTTACATCTGATCTTACCATGCATTTTAAATGTGTTTCATGTGACCGCTTGGATTAAATCTAGACCCTTCCCTATTATTTCATCACACTCTATATCAGTTTCATAAGAGTAGCGAGTGTGCCAGTATGATTGAATGAAAGGAGAAAGAAGCGAATAGAAAGGATACGAATGGTAACAGCGATATCAAGCATAATCTGTGTGTGTTGGCTCAGCAAATGAAGTTTGGATCAATTGTTTTGGTATGGTTTCTCAAAACACATCCCATAACGCTCATGTGTCAGGCTGAAAAGTAGGCGTTCTTTTGTGGCTGTTTGAACGTATTTGACCACAAGCATCTACACTACGAAAGCAATCCTCTCAAATGCGTTTTCTGCTACCTCTGGAAGTGGTTCAAAGTGGACAAGCTCAAAATATTTTCGACCCTATTTATTTAGACCTGTATTTAGCGTTGTCCACTTGTGATCGAATCAGTGAAAACCAGAACCAAATCTGACTTCTGAAAAACCTAAACTGTATTGTCTGTTCTTGATGTCTGTTTAGACTGTATCTAAAAACTAGACCAATAATGACCACCTTTTACTGACTTTTTAGGCTAACAGCGATTTTGTGAGCACTGCCTCTCGAGGAGCCATGGCAGTGGTAGATGGTAACGTGATGCCTGTCAACCCTAGTGAAGAGCCACGACAACAGATGTTCATCTGGAACAACATTTTCTTTAGTTTAGGCTTTGATGTACGGGACCAGTACAGAGATCTGGGAGGTGAGGCTGCGGCCCATGCTGCCCCTGTTCTCGACCTGAATGGCGTGAGAGCTTACTGGGCAGTGGATCAAGAAGGCCTCTACCTGATTGGCACCGTAGTGATCGATTACGGTGGCTACCGCGTCACTGCCCAAACTATTGTGCCGGGAATTCTTGAGCGTGACAAAGAACAGAGTGTTGTCTATGGCTCCATTGACTTTGGCAAGAATGTTGTGTCTGATGACAGGTAAAAGTGTAAAATGGTAAAAAAAAAAAAAGGTAAAAATGTGTCAGGAATTAAATAAACAATAAAGATGTATATATAACCACAATATGTCATACTCTGTGAAGGTATCTGGAGCTGCTTGACAAACCCAGTAAGAAGCTGAGAGTGCAGTGCCACCTAGTGCTAAACAAAGATGATACAGCAGTAGAGTTGTGCTCCTCGGTGGAGCACAAGGAAGGGCATTGTGGGCAATGATGGTCGGCGCTACATCCTGGATCTACTTTTTACCTTCCCACCCGACCTCAACTTCCTTCCTGTAGAAGGAGAGGATTTAAATGCTGTGTGTCAACATCTAGGCTTTCCAAGGCTATATACATCCTCATCGCCTGGTCTGCCTGAGACAGGAACTCATTGATGCCTTTGTGGAGCAAAGGTAATATTCACCTGTCTTATGATCAATACCTGGGTGAATATCATAAAACCTGTCAAGAATGTCATATTTTACCCCAAAATCAAAAGAACAATCAATAGTATTTACATACAGAAAATTAAGCCCATTTTAAGATTTTTTTACACATTTCCCCCTCTTTACCATTTATATATATTTATATGTGTGTGTGTGTGTGTATATATAGAGAGAGAGAGAGAGAGAGAGGGAGAGAGAGAGAGATGATAGATAGATAGATAGATAGATAGATGTAGAACTACATATAGAATTTAATTGTAAAGTATTTATTCATCACAGTGGTTTAAACTGTATAGTATTAATGGTATTTAAAAAATAAAATATTTAAAAACAAATTAAAAAATAAAATATATTTAATACAAAAATGATATTATGTATTGTTTTAGCTGAAATACAGTAAAAAAAATTACTTTCGTGGTATTGTATGTGAATCAGTAAAAAATTGAATCCAATGAGAGTCATAATTGAGAATTTCAAATAAATAAAACAAATATAAAAATAAACAAAAATAAAAATTACATTTTTGACTGAATTTTGAGGAAATTTTGCTTAATTTGAATGAAAACAGCATCAAGATGCAATGGAATATGATTGAGGTGAAATATGATTAATGACAGGTTTTGTTGATATTATGTATTGTTTTAGCTGAAATACAGTAAAAAAAATTACTTTATCGTGGTATTGTATGTGAATCAGTAAAAAATTGAATCCAATGAGAGTCATAATTGAGAATTTCAAATAAATAAAATAAATATAAAAATAAACAAAAATAAAAATTACATTTTTGACTGAATTTTGAGGACATTTTGCTTAATTTGAATGAAAACAGCATCAAGATGCAATGGAATATGATTGAGGTGAAATATGATTAATGACAGGTTTTGTAAGATTCACTCACACACTTAATTTATTGAATTATTTCAGTGTTTTTTTAATAATTCAGTGTAAATGTTTCACAAATCATTTTGGGTGTAGCAATCCCAACAGTAAAAATAAATGCACAGAATGGAAAAAAACTATATATCACGGTGCAGATATGAACCTGATGTGAGGTTTTGAGCTAAACAATCTTTTTATATGTCATCAGATACCAGACATTTATGGAGACTGTCTCCAAAAGTTCTGAGCATGACAGAGAAATCGCCAAAGCCGTTGGCACATCTGCGATAAAGAGTGATCCAATTACTATGCCTCAGCTTCCCTCTACTGTCACACTCCCAGACCAGGACACAGAGCACCATTTCCTAAAAAATGTGCCTGTGAATAACATCCAGCAGGGTTCTTCAATAAAGCATATCTTCTCCTCCATCAGGAATACTTTTGACATACATTTCAACCCTAATGTCTTGTGTGCAGGTGTGCTGTTAGCTGTTAGACAGTATTAGTAATATGTATGTTGCTAAATAGCAACATTACTAATATTTCCATTCTTTTAACAGGTGTACGTTTTCCCAAGGAAAGTACAGAAGATATCCAGAAACAGAAACAGCAGTTAAAGGATGCGGCAGTCTTTCTAATATCCAATCAAATCCCTGCATTTGTAAGTTGCTTTTTTTTTAATAATGATTGCACTGATAAAACAGATTATCCCTGATGTCTGTCCTTGTGTAACCCCACATCTTCAACTGTGTGTCTCTGTAGACGAAGAGTTGCCTTGACCACACATCAATGCCTACAGATGGCGTCACACTAACAGAGGCCCACCATCAGCACGGCATCAACATCCGCTATTTGGGAAAGAAAGACTTGATCATGTCTATGTGAGTGTATGTTTCACTCATGCAGTCAGTCAATTCAGTCAATTCTAAATACTTAGAAACTTATACAGTCACATACAGTATATATTTACATATTTGTATGCTGCCATTCAAAAGTACAAAAAAGTAATATTGTGAAATATTATTACAAATGTAAAAGAACTGTTTACTATTTTAATATATTTTAAAATGAAGTTTATTCCAGCTGAATATTTCACAGGCATTTTTCCAGAAATCATTCTAATATGCTAATTAGTTGCTCAAGAAACATTTTTAAAATATCAATGCTAAAAACAGTTGTGGTGCGTAATATTTTTTATTAGAGATAATTATAATAAGTAAATTACATATACATTTATGCATTTAGCAGACAAAAGCAATTCTTCAAACTAACATTATAAAAAAAAAAATAAAAAATAAAAAAAAAATATATATATATAACATTACAGTATAACATTTTTTTAATCTATATAACCTACCAGTCAACAGTTTTTGAACAGTAAGATTTTTAACGTTTTATAACGAAGTTTCTTCTGCTCACCAAGCCTGAATTTATTTGATCCAAAGTACAGCAAAAGCAGTAATGTTGTGAAATATTTTTACTA